TCTTCGTCAATGATTTGACACAGAAAGCTATTCTGAAGTAACAACAAATTCGTTCATTTCATGTGGGAAACGTAAAACAAATGGGACAATTGGGGGTATTTCCGTAGTATGTGAATAAAGATAGGCGGATAGGGTTATGCCATAATTTCAGCTACAAATTGTACGGGAGGTAATTGGTTAGTCCCCGAACTCATGATAGAACTAAAATAAGAAAATTATAATGAAATTATGTCCAAACCCTAAACTAGTAGTAACCTAGTTCCAATGTCCGACATCTTTGTGCATATACTACGGAGAAAGATTTGATATTTCGTTCTGACATCCGTGTTCATTTTTTAAGAATGTTAATGTTGGCTCTGCTCCAACAGTAACTACATTTTCCTCTTGCATTAACATGCATGAATTCGTTTGTTGAGTATTTTTTACTTGTAAAAGGTATCAAGGTGCTACAGAAGTTGATATAATTGCGTCTCCTAATTTAACAAGTAATCTGAAGCAATTGAACAATCAATGGAGCAATTCCACTGACCCAAACAACATTCAGATAACGTCCTTGATGCCACAGCATTCTGATTTATACCTAGACCAGTCTAGGTACCGAGGTAAACATTCATTCAGCACATTTCAGTCAGTGTAATTTTCGTTAGACTGGCGTTTTGTATATGCGTTAATTTAATCAATAATTTTGCCTGATCACTTAAATATAATCATTCATTTCAGATACACCAGACCAAACACATTTTATCGGATTTGACATCTACATGAATGGTCATCCCTCGTTCAACGATCCGAAATTATATCCCGAATACAAGAAACTATTGTTTCCTAAACTTAACAACATATCCTTTGTTGTTCCAATGTATCCAATGTTAACGCAATCGAATGATATCGATAATGATGATCTATGTTTTCCTGATGCGAGTGATTGGACTCAAAGTCGTTCTCAATTTTGTGGCGATGAAGAGTTTTGTTCTTGTACTCACATGATTGACGTTGGTATTGGTAATCTTGTTGAGTTGGTAATTTATGACGAAGGCGGATTTCCATTTGTCGATGTTGGTCATCCGATGCATCTACACGGACAGCATTTCAAAGTGGTAGCAATGAAAAAGTATGCTTTTCTTAAATACGTTTAAAGTCGCTTGCTCTCAGTGCTATTCAATTTTGAAATCGCTAAAATCTGTTAAATTTTTTTCTTTAGTAATAAAGTGAATTCAGCAATTCAATACAAGAAATATTCAGTGTTCAAATACGACCTACAAAACAAAATGAGTGCATTTTATACAAAATTTTGTTTAGATATTAAACATAATATAAATATTTTTTAGGTTTTGGAGTATTTGCAAAACAATCTATTTTAACCTAAAGTACACTGCTCTTTTTAGAGTTGGCGAATCTCTCTCTCCCGAATTGGTGAAAGAACTTCATGCTAACGGCAGTATTGAATACAATTTCAACACAGTTCTGAAAGACACTGTTATTGTTCCTAACGGTGGATACACAGTTGTTCGTTTTCTTGCTGATAATCCCGGAGTCTGGTTCTTCCATTGTCATCTATCCTTCCATTTGCATATAGGTAAACTCGCGTTTTGTATCTTTAATTCATACTCGCTATATACCTACAGAATTAGTTACATTTATTTAATGAATTAATATATTCCTCCTAGGGATGTCATTGGTATTCAGAGTAGGAGAACCTAGTCAATGGATCAAGCCTCCAGAAGACTTTCCAACGTGCGGTACATGGTCTGACTCTGGAATTTTGAGTTCTGGACAACAGACATCTTTACCAAACATATTACTTATATCCATAATTATCCAGATAGGGTACTTGACAAAAATATGCATATGAATGGTGGGAAGACAATCGTCGGTGGAATATGATTTTGTCATGCAACAATGTTTGTAATTTACTGCATTATACAATGTAAATTGAACATAAGTAAATTTGCCTCTGTTGTAATTTATTGGTCTAAAACAGTAATTGTCCAGTGCCTGCGAGTAGCAAAAGAGCTTTTTAGTTTTATCCCACGTTTTAGATAACTAATACTACGAGTCTTAGCCGATCGTAACTGGAGAAATAATCAGAATAAAGATATGAAAGAAGAGCTAGATTGCCATGGAACGATTTCCAGCTTGGGCTTAAAGCTGTTGAATAGGATACTGTTGCACCTTCAGAAATCACATCGTCGCTACTTTCTTCGTTAATTCCTGTATGTTGATCATGAAAACGCGTAAATATGTATACGTAATATGTATAAATACGTAATATGTAAGTTCTACTCCTGTACACCTGTGTGCGTCCCAACTTGAGCAGTTACTGTACTTGTACATATCGAACGCAGCATATAAAAGGAAAAGCATGAAAATACATAGAAGTCATGTCCCGCTACTAGGATTTTTTATGCATCCGAACATGCTAAATCACATGCCTGATACAGCCTATCAGCCAAAATCACCTAAATAAGCCTACATGCCAGATTTCACTTTAGTATTACTTAATGTAGAGTTAGAAGGATTTAAACTTGACATGTATAAAGACAAAAAATCCGTCTCGTGTCATTGGATGCTTACGAAGTACGAATTTTAGTTAAATTTTTTAGATTTAAAAGCCCTATTTACAGATATTGGAAATTAAATTCAAACAATATCATGTTCATATGTTTTCGTTTCTGGGGTTTATTTTATCTTAGATATAGCTGGACTAACTGCCCTTTGAGTAAGACATTTTTTCTTTTCACTGTTGAAGAGAATTTTCACAAATCTTCAGGCTTGTCCATGGGAATGGGATTCCCATGGGAAACTCTCATGAGATGGGATGGGATGGAACAGCATACATTTGTAATTTCCATGGGACACGAAAACCGCATGATTTTCGGGGAAATGATGGTGAAACATTTGGTTATGTATTTCGTGCCCATATATTTGAGCACAGCCCTCTTGTTAGTTATAACGAGCAAAACATATTAAGTATTACCAATATACTTCGTGAAGGTGCTGATGGACACATGTGTAATAGTTATGAATATAAAGTTAACAAAGTTGGTAAATTTTGTTGTTTTGCATGCCCCCTCGTACTTGTAGTCTTATGGACCTTTCCCCGAGCATCGTTTTCCTTGTTTACTTCGTGACATTGGCCAATCAGCAAGATGCAAAAAGTGACGTAACAATGCCCCCTTTTTGCATCCGCTCAGACACTTTTCTCACTCAGACAGATTTTCAAGTGTGGTTGTAAACATTACCTCGTTTTCGCGTTTTCGAACTCTATTCGTTAGTTTTCAGTTGTGTTTCGGAAACTTAAATATAAATCAGATAATTCAATGATCACTCTGTCTTCCTAGGAGTTTTAATTTAATTGCAGTAATAAAAATTAGTGTAGAAATAGCTGTGATATACTAGCCTGAAATTCTTTACCGGTACTTAAAAAACAAGAGAGCTACGCACAAATATATGGACACGTTAGACCAGAGCGAATCAGTCTTTACCGGTACCTTTGACGCTACCGGTACCCTCAAAAAAGTTCTGAATTTCCAGTAGCAAGAATTTTGCAGAATCAAAACGTACAGCCAGTCATGACACTGACTAAAATCCGCGTTCCCATGGATAAAAAATAATACAGCAAAATTTTAGACGAAATATCAAATTTCATAGAATTCACGCAAAATTTTGAAATAAATAAAAGTAATAGCCTTCTAGCGAAGAAATTAATCTTTAACCACTGAAAATTTCAAAGCAATTGGTCCAGTATTCGAAGAGAAAAGCGATTTTTTAAAAACGTGTCAAAGAACAAGAACAACAACAACATAATATTGAAACGATCGTTATGGCCACTAAACGTGTCCAAAAAAAGATTGTTGTATGCGATGAATCATAATGATGGTTTGTAACACATACCCCCTTTCACAGGCGCCAACTCGCAAACGCACTCTTAAAATAGCCCCGAAAATTTTGCAATGGTAAAGTATAGGAAGAATTATCCGAGGGTCAAAGGTCGGGGAAAGGTCCATTTAGTAGACGCTAAACCTAAATTTAACGATTTTTATTGAATTTTATTCTAATGGGAATCCCATGGGACAGGTATAATCGATATGGGATGGGAATGGGACAGAAAAATCATAAGCCCCACCCAACCAAAAATGATTGAAAGTTGATGACTTTGTTTCAGACCTATGAAGTAAAATAAATTTTTAAAAGATTACAAAAGTTTATATATATATATATATGTATACAAATATTAGTAGTTTAATTGTATGCTAATATGTATATTTGCATACAACTTGATTTAGTAAATGTCGATTTAACTTAGTTATTTTGTTGAAACTTTATATGTATATATATATATATATATTATTTACACATGACTGTTTTTGCATGGTTGTGTGACTTGTGTCTCTCGTCCAAACAAAGTAGGCTACCTTTACCGGTTGTCTGCCATTGTTTAATACAAATCCGTGGAACTTGTTACGTGTATTTCGGAATTTGCAAGGTTGACTGCCACAAGGGTGGATACAATATGAAACGATATCTAAATATGCGCTTGGATTATATGGTATTTCTGAAAGTCAGTTTTTGCTATATTTCTATAGCTGATATTTATTTGTGTAGTTGTTTCATATTAAAGTATTTATTGTTATTGCGGCTGTAATTATGAGATTTTGTGCAGCGAACGAATAAAACTTGCATTCAGTAATGTATTCAAAAATTAGTCAATACCCGCTGCGATGACCAATTGGCTACAAAGACTGTTTAGACTTTAGAGTAAAAAAATTCTGGCCGCGAAAAAATTCGACTATTTTCAATATATTCTGATTTGTCATTATATATAAGGGGTTTGTCTTTCAAAACAACTCGATTAGTAAGTTTTATGTTTTAAGTTGTGGCATGCATTGATATGAGAATATAATTAATTATCATCAATAAAACTTTTTGAAACGAATACCTTTTATCGTTTTAAATATTAGATATATATTACAATTAGAAACTACACCAATAGCGATATAATGTTGGATACTGTTTGTGTGTTGTTACTATTAACAACTTCAGTGAAGACTGACTGTGAGTAACATTAGAACTATTTTATTTATTTAATATGTACTTACATATAGATACTGATCTTGCGACCATTTTGGTTGCTACTCATCTGATTGCCTCAATTAATTACTAGCATTATGTAAAACTAGATTTTTAATAGCATATCATCATCAATATAAATAAAATGCTAACGTTTCATCCAAAACACATTTACATGTATAATTTTCTCATATCATCCTCATGGACATACCATGCATGATCTGTTATGACGAACAGATAATGTGTTTCAGACCCATCCTGTCAATATGATTTACACGTTCATCCATATAGCCTTCTTTGACGTGCATGTTTAAGAATGTCTTCTTCTGTTTTACAATATTTTCATTTAATGTTTTATAACAGTGCATTATATAAACAATACTTCTGTTTTCAGCTCACACTCAGGTCATTGACGCAGGACAGAATTCTAACGGTAAGTTTAAGCGGAACGTATATGTTAATTAAAACGTCTGGCAGATGGGTTTCAAGTTCAATACAAACTTGTAGCAAATAACTCTTTGTCACGACTGCATGGATGAACGACAACGTTGGCTAAAATAGATCAAATTTCTTTGAATTACCGCTTGGATGCATTTAATGAAAGCAGAGTTAGTATTCAAAAATATCAAGGAAATATGTAGTCATTGTATTACTCAAATACTCATTCGTGATCATTTGTGTGTTATAACATTCAGATCCACATCCATGCGATAGAACGTGCGAATATCCAGCTTCTCCTCAAATCTGCGAATACGATTTTGTTGTGGAGTGGTAAGACTTGAATTAGTCTATTACATTAACTGTCACAGGTTGATTAATAAAACGGTGGCAATATTTAGAAGCATATTTGTTTTTCGTGAACGACAAAACAAAGTGAAGCAAATTTAAAAAAAAATCTCATCCCCTATTCTACATACGCACATATATTTTTATACACAAGAAAAATCAAAGTGAACAGGCAAAACTGACATTTTACTTGAAGGACTAGCATCAGTGACAATTTACGTAATCATGCGAGATTCTGAACCCTCAATAGTTATATTCTTTGCCTATTTGTGCTATGAATGTCATTGAATATTTTCCTATTCTTAAATTTTTTCACAAATAATAATGTCATATTCAGATTATTCGTTACAGGTGCATAGCTACCAGCTAAAAAAACCTGCTTTAAGATATTTTGAAACGAGATTTATCGCTCATTATTTTTATTTTTTCATTTTATATTAAATATTATCAATTTTGTACAATCGGATTATTTTACGAAGCCAGTACATGGTCATTTTCAACTCTTCTGTCAGTATATATTTGTTTGTAGATGAAATCTCGCAAACTCAAAGAATTTAAACGTTACATAAAAAGTGCTATAAGTAAGAGTGACGTTTCCTGAAAAAATGGACATTGAATATTTATCGTGTTTTTTAAAAAAAAATTATATACGTACATATATTCTCGGATAAAAATGTCCAAGATGTGAGTGCATATATTGCAAATAACTGAATGTTCAATTGTTAATGATTGCAAACTTTCATAGATACCTATGTACCAAATGATTACAGTATAGTTATAGTACAAAGGTATCTACATAACGTAGTTTTTTCACAGGTTCTATTTAGAATACCCGTTTTTGTTTTGTACCCAATAAGTTATATATAAGATATAACGCTAGAGTGACAATCATATTTGAAAAAACAACTCGGGTATCGGCAACATGCCCAAACACGACCTCACAACAGTAACATTGTCGCCAAGTGCATGGAATGACGCCTGATATGACACATTTGTCTGAAAGCGGATTGGCAGAATAATATCATGCTAACTAGAGTCTATAATTCTCCAAGGTAAATTGAATTGCCCATTAGTTGAATTAGGAGTTTCTGGTTCCGAGCAAAGTACGTTGAAAGTGATATAAGATTTAACATCGTGAGACTCGTAGAACATATTCAAGAAGCGGTTATGAGGCAGTTACGAAATAAAGTAGAAGTTGTCATATACGTAGGATAATCGTTGTTATGTTTTTAACTCAAACCGGGCACAGAGCGCTAAGGTTTCGACTTATTATGGCAAAATGTTTCATTTTTTGTAACCCAGATCCAAATTACAGTTATAGTTCGTCTTTTTCAGTACAAAACAAAAGATACAAATCACTTTGAATTAAAACTACCAGTTTTTATCTCAGGTTAACAAAAACGAATTTCAAATTTTGGTATAAATGTTGATAGATAAAAAGCGAGGTAAAATGAGGGAATAGCCACTAGTTCTATTGTATTTGCAGGTATTACACAATGTCCAAAGCATGCTACGACTGTCCATTCTCAATTTCTGATTGTTCAAGACCACATTGCGTTGCGGCCGATGGAGTAGGCCGTCCTGTAATAACTGTTAACAGATTATTCCCAGGACCCCAAATCAGGGTGAGTGCGGAACTAATTATCCAATGTATAATTAACTTTCGATTTAGCAATGAATAAGACAATCATATGGCATAATTATAATACAAAATAAAAAAACATTTTATTTATGTAAGGTGTGCCATAATGATACTGTTCGTGTGATAATCAGAAACAAACTTGATAACGATGAGGGAATCGGAATTCACTGGCATGGTCTTCACATGAAAGATACGCCACATATGGATGGGGTTTCTATGTTGACTCAATGTGCCATACCAGCAAAAACGTCTTTCACCTATGAGTTTACGGCATATCCTCCAGGTATAAATATTGTGTTAATTCAGCCAAAATTATAAGTTTCTGGGAATCAAATTAACATATCTCCAAAATATTTCTACTTTTTTATCAATGTTACAATTCAGGGCGCTCCAGAAGTGTGTGTACCAATGTGGAGGTAACACTGTTTTGTTCGCCTATTTTACATCAAGTTGTGTAAAGCTATGGGCAGGGGGTATTTTCCTTGGCTAACACAAACAGTCCTCTCGCATTAGAACTAAAATGGGAGAAAATCGGAATAAAGTTATGACCTAACCCTAACCTGGTGCACACACTATGGAAGTGCTCAATTTCGCACGTAGTAGTGACCGAAATCATAATCTTAATAACGTTGATTTTCTTTATTTTATCCTAATTCAAATCATTCAGGAACACATTTTTGGCATTCACATGCCGGTTTGCAAAAGGCAGATGGTTTAGCTGGCGCGCTTATCATTAATCGTGACAGTGAGGATGATCCAAACCGAGGACAATTTGATGTTGGTAGGTAGATAAATAGAACTAAATTCAGGTTAGATAAAAGATGGCTATATTGCCTTTATTTAATTGAAATTAGAATATTTTTAAACCACAAACGAATACCACACTCTTGGTTCATATCTTTAATCTTATATAATACTAGTTTATGAGAGGAACCCATACATTTAGGGCAGAATGTTGAGGAGAGTCTATTTCATTTGTAAGGCCCCTCCTCCTTTATTAAAAAATCAAATTATTATGATGTCATAATATCAATATATTTAAATTGTCTTATTACGCCATACGTCATGAAGAAATTTTCAAAATTTGAGCGGAATACAAAATTTTACTTACAGTCAAAATACGCGTGCTAATCACACAAGTATATTAGAATTAGATGATAAGTTGAAGGTTAAAATAATTAAGCCCTACATGCCTTAATAAATCTTCATGGCCAAATTATTATTAAATAAATAAAAAGTTCTGATAAATTAAATTATAATTTGTTCTTTTAAAATCAACAGGTCCACAATAAAAAAAGATCCTTTAATAGAAAAAATAAATATTTCATATATTCGTTGGTGTGAAGATAAATTAATACAGTACATAAATACGTACATTCTAATAAAATGTTATTGTTTTTATTTTAAGATTCTGCCGAGCACGTTATATTCTTGGCAGATTGGTTGCATACAACAACATTAGCCTTTTTTCTCAAAAAACACCACTTTGAAGGTGGTCCAAATAGAGGAGACAATGTTTTAATAAACGGAAAAGGTGTATCTGAGGTATCTTCTGGAGGCTGAGTAATCAAGTACATAACTTGAAATACAATCATTTTTGGACGAAGCAAACTTCATATTTTTTATTTTTAGGAGTTCTTCAATTCAACAAACAACTCTACTCATTTTACCCCGCGAAAGACTTTTTATGTCGAACAAAATACACGTTATCGATTCCGGATGATAAGTAATGCTGCCTTTTGTGCATATGCTGTAAGTACCTTTTATATAAATGTGACTTGTAGCCATGTACCAATCACACGTTTTTGCAATCTTCGCACTGAAATGGTTGGGCCATACTTCATTTGTTTTAGTAATGTGATGAAGTTTAAATATTGGACTATTTCCTGCGGAATACAGCAGAAGATACAAAATTGGACAATATAGGGTCGATCCCGATAGAAAAAAAGTTTTATCTGCAATTGTTATAATGTAATCCTGTTATTGTCTATAATTTTTTGAGTGGTAATTTTTTTCTAATTGGTACTTTAAAACCCTATGTAGCTTGTCGCTCTGGGGCCATTTTACATGGATTATTTTTAAAATATTTTTTTTATCAACCATTATGCTAAAAGCTCACTCATGGCTTTTTAATAGTGTGTAGAGTTCTATTCAGCAATAAATGTTTAAAACACACTCCTCTAATAATATTTTTTCTATACGACAAAATTTCTATTGAACAACCTCATACTTGCGAGATTTTGTGTCTAGTAGAGGGTTAATAATTATTCCTAATTAATTAATTTTTATTGCGACGTTTTCTTGTGTTATTTGCCAACAGAACAATACCAGAATCACTATTGTAGCAAGAATGGTTACTCTAAAATTCACAATTGTATTTACACATTTTCAATATCAACGCTCCATTTGACAATTTTGATGACGTCACACCTCTAATTATTACTGCACAGACCCCCTCAATGCAAAAAATGTTACTTTTTTTACGGCAATGCGCGTATAGAAAGATGTAAACATTCTAATGCGCGCCTTTACGCGTTAAAATTATCTTCAATTTTACGTTTTTTTCACGTTTAAAAATTCTCTATACCTACACCAAGTATGGTGCAGTCGAAATCATATTTTTCAAAACATCACAGGGCCAGGGATGGAATGTATTACTGAAAATACATGATAAACCAATACTAAGCCATTATAAGGGAGGTATTGTAGTTCATTTCCCATCTGAGTCACATCAGTGATTTTACATGTCTGACTGGCGATTTTGAAATCGATGCTGTTCATAGAACTGACATTTTCGGAGAAGCTGGAGTCCCTTTTTCGTGAAATATTTGACCCTACTATGGAACATTAACTGTAAAAGACCAAGAATACCTTTTAGAGATGGACTGTGCATGAATCATACATTGTACGACTGTGTATATTCTCATCCGGTAGCTGAATTTGTCATTCCATTTATGACAACTTTTAGGTTTCTATTGACGGGCACGAACTGAAGGTAATTGCAACTGACGGACATGATGTTGAACCATATATGGTATCGTCGCTTGTCATTCACAGCGGAGAAAGATACGACTTCGTCGTTGATGCATCCAACGAAGTTGCAAACTACTGGATAAGAGTACGCGCCTTAGAAAGCTGTGCTCGATTATCACAGATGGCGATTTCAAGGTAAAATCAATTTCAAATCAAAGAATTTTCATTTTCGATGTCGTTCGAGTGATTTAAAAGCTCGGATTAAAATTCATAAATTCACTCTCAAATTGAGAATCTGTTGATTATACCTTAAATGGGGATGTCAGGAAAAATTGATGTTGATGGCATTATTTATTTATTATTATTTTTGCCTCACTGTACAGATATCAAGGAGCGCCCGAATCAGATCCAAGTACAACTGCAGTGTCATCTGGAACTGAAAAAGAATTGAATAATCCATGGGCTGATGCTGCAAATGAAAGCAACAGTCAGGTCACGTCGCTTAAAACGATGTATTCTCGGACATATCCGGCTAGGGTAGGATATGATGGTGAGAATTTCTCAGCATTTCTGCCATTAAATCCAAAGAACAGATAGGATTGACTATAATATCTGTAATGAAATCTGTAATACCTGTAATGGGACACGTATAATTGTACTCCAATCATGCTAGAAATTTTTCTAAAAATAACAAATGCTTTCCACTTTTCAGGAACGCCGGACCAAACTCATTTTATTGGATTTGATATATATATGATCAATCACCCGAGTTATAATCATCCCGAGCTTTATGCATTTCCCGACGTCGTTCCTCGGTTCTTCTCACAACTAAACAACGTCTCATTTGCGTTTCCAAAATATCCCATGTTAACTCAATCGAAATATATTGATGATGATCATCTGTGTAATCCCGAAACGGCTCAATGGAACCGGAACACCTCCGGTTTTGCCAGAATAACTTCTGTTCTTGCCCATACGTCATCAATGCTAAAGTTGGAAATCTCGTAGAATTGGTGCTTTATGATGAGGGCATGTTTCCGTTTGTCGAAGTCGGGCATCCTATGCATCTACATGGACAGCATTTCAAGGTTGTGGCAATGAAAAAGTAAGGTATGGGCTATACATGTTTAACTAATGTATCGGATACGATGATCGGATCACATTTTAGTCATTTACTTGATAAGTAAAAGGATTTCCATTTTGAAAATCAGAACTGTTTAATGGATATGCTTGTGCTCAAGCCAATGAAAAAATATCTGAGTAATTTAGAATTTCCTAATTGTTACAGTATTCATTGAAGACGTAGTATGTTCAATAGAACATCGGTCATGCCAACCTTGAGTTTATGCTGTGTTACAGAAAAAATCAGAATCATAAGTTCTGTCTCGGGATTCTGGTTAGATCAAAGTCTATGTCACTCTCATCAAATACCGAAATGTAAAAAATACAGTAGGCTGGGTATGTGTCACGGCTTTCAACCCATAGGTTATTGCTGGATGTGTTATAACCTATTGCTATAATATATTGAACGCCTCAATCTCCTTTTGGCACATTTCAGGGTCGGCGATTCTCTCTCTCCCGAATCGGTCAAGGAAATTCATGCTAACGGTAGTATAGAATACAATTTCAACACAGTTCTGAAAGACACTGTTATTGTTCCTCATGGTGGATACACAGTTATTCGTTTTTTTGCTGATAACCCCGGAGTCTGGTTCTTCCATTGTCATCAGATCTTCCATTTGCATATAGGTAAAACGATGTAAGTCAAATATTTATTGGACGTTTAGTGGACATAACGATCATTTTAATATTTTGTTGTTGTTCTCGTTAATTTTCGTCTTCATAATTATAAAATTGCTTTTCTCTTCGAATACTGGACCGATTGCTTTGAAATTTTCAGAGGTTAAAGATTGATTGTCAGAAAGCTATTATATTTATTTATTCCTAAATTTTCTATGAGTCTTATGAGATCTAATATTTCATCCAGAATTGCTCTGTATTACTTTTTAATTATGGGGACACGATTTTTAATCCGTCAAGCGTGACGGCTGAAAATTCTTGCGACTGAAAAATCGGAGAATTTTTGAGGGTACGTTACCGGTAACGTCAAAGGTAAGGACTGCTTCACTCTGGTCCACGTGTCCATATATTTGAGCGTTGCTCTCTTGTATTTAAAACATAAATATCGGAGAAAAGTGATCATTTTTTTTTTGTGTTATAGGAATGAGTTTGGTTTTTAAAGTTGGAGAACCTAGCGATTGGGTGAAACCGCCTGAAGACTTCCCGAAATGTGGACCCTGGCCAGGAAAAGCAGTGAGCAGAGCAGAGAGTTGTTTGTTCAAAAATGGATATATGATGTATATTCTCTTGCAAATGTTTTGTTACTTTGCCTTCCAAAATGCTGATTACTGAAATCATGTTTCAAGTATGCTCGAAAAATAATTTGTCGACTGAAAATCTAATTGAATCAACAATATTGTGAACGATAGTTTACTGATTAGAAATTTTGAGAAATCGGTTGAACTCGGTACAGTTTATTTACCTTCAAAATCCGTATTTTCGAGATAACGTTCAATTCATACTTACATATCAACGAATAAACAACTATCAAAAATAGAATTGTACAAAATGATCAATCAAATTTTTTTAATTTGAATCGTTCTTCGTTGAAAGAACTGTTTTGTTATACCCACCAGACAATCCACTTCATTTGAAATTTCTCTTGTTAGTTTTTCTGCTATGGAACATAATTTTACAGTAGCCTTAAATCTTTTGTCACGGAATTTTCCATGAGAAAACTTCTCAAAAATTGATTTTGTTTCAAATTCAATATGAAAAATTTATCGCGAAAACAATATTCATCTCGCAATGATACGGTGTGATGAAATAGAAGTTAACTTTATGCATGATACAAAACAATGAAGCTTAATTGTTTAAGCAGTTATTCTTATATAAAAACACATTGCAGATATAAGCAATAGTGCATGCAATTTGTGGATTTTTGGTTTCACACTTTTTCTTCTGTAATCTTGTGGTTCGTATAACCTCTTCCGTTGTTCGTTTCTGCATGTTCTTTTTCGATGGAAGTCTTGCAATTTTGACACTTACAGAGAAAAGCGTCATGGATTGGATAGTTCCAGTGATCCGGAAAAAGCATAACACAGAAACCAAGTATTACAAGAAAAGCTGCAGCGAGCCTTGTAGGACTGAATGTAACACCTTTCACAAAAATGTCAACGACTGAAAAAAAATTCAGCATGAGTGGAAAAATAGTGTTTTTTTTTATAATAGATATTAATTCCAGTTCATTTTTATTATGCTTGACAAGTAACTCTGGTAGAGTTTGTTGTATATTCAACTATAAATATATACGCCCTATCGTAATAAATATCTACTCTGATAATACAATACGAATAGCATTAAACATTGTTTATTACCTGCGTTGAGCGGGATTCCCAGCATCATTGCAATCGATATAAATAAAGGATACGTATAAGCCACGCCGAAATTAACAGCAAAGTTGAACACTAAAAGATTGGAACATTCATTAACCTGATAGAAAAATTCAATAGATTTTATATTATCAAGTTATTTATTTGAAGTGAGACGTTAAAGTTACTCATGTGCATTAAAGGGATTGAACCACGAAACAAATTAAATTTGTTATATTCTTATATTATGGAGAATGAATGGGTATCTGGAAAATCTCTCTTCGTTTCAAATTAAATTTACTTGTTCAATTTTACAATAAGGATGCGAAATAGAATAATCATTATTGAATAAATAAAGTTACCCAAAGAAAGAAAGTTCGACGTGGTCAGGTCTGACCATGGTATATCATCCGCTTCAAAGTATTCCACTCCAGTAAAATAAAGAATCAAAAACACGATCCACATAAAAACTGCGTTGCTGACTCCGAGCAAAGACAGGAAGAGAGAAACTTGCCCCAAATTTGCAGTTCCCAACCACGACTTGAAAATAACCTGTTATATAAATTATATATATTCGGGAGCACAAAAGGATTGTGAGGAGTTTATGAATACTTTATATATAACTGCAATCACATACACTTTTTTTTATAAAACATGAGAGCAATGGTCAAATGTATAAACACCGAGGCCAGAACGAAATATTTTACCCACAATTTTCCCAAAAACATATCATAAACGAAGCTGAAATTGTGGAATGGCTATCGTACGTGGGGCAAATTTACGTGGCATAACAGTTTATACATAACAGTTTTTAATTTGATTACCTCATCGCACACAAACAAACGAATCCCGTGGAGCCCACAGAACTTTTTGAAATAAATTGAAGTAATAGCGACCATAACAATCTTTAACCACTGAAAATTTCAATGCAATTGGTTCAGTAGTTAAAATGAAAAGCGATTTTTTCACAACAACAAGAAGAATTCTGACAACGACAATGCAACAGCAAAACGATCCTTAGATCCACTTCGTGTCTAATAGAAATCAATACATCTGACGCTTACCTTGTAAAGCGCTGCTCCAAAAGCAGATATAACTGTCATCATGGTACCTCCCAAAATTCCGGATCCGCCCACGAAACCATCGGCATAGGCAAATAATGCAACCCCAGCTATGCAAAAAACGCAGGCAAAAATCTGAGAATAGGAATGTTTTTAGAATAACGCCTTCAGATGCTAAATGATATTATATACACGGACTAGGTGACAATTCCATTTGGGGTCGTAATAATGAGAGGGTATAAAACAATGACAATTTTTTATTTTTCTAACAGCTTCACAAAATACTGCTACATACCCTTATAGCGTAAAGTCTTTCATGAAGAATGCATAACGCCAGCATGTAGACAAAAGCAACATTTGAAGCAAATATGGCAGAAGCATCGGTTGCAGCAATATACTTCAGGCTGGAAATATACAGGTAATTTGTGGCCAGCCACAACATATTTAAAGGAACAATCTTTAAGAAGAACTGTGTTTTCGATATTTCAGGAGTTTTAAACATTCGCGCTGCATCTCTAAATGTAAAAAAAGTATACTAATCACATCTTACTGTGGAATTGTTTTTTTGTTCAGCATTTTCATTTTTTTCGTTATATATTTTTCATACAAAGTAAATGTCATAACTCTATGGCACACTTTGTTATTGGTCGTGGTACGACTGAACTAACTTTATAAGCAAATTGCAATAATAATTTATAAGTTTTGGACATTTCACAACACGTCCACATTCGAAATATCAGAAAAAAATCGTGTTTATGGAGCTTTCAGTTTGATTTGATTTATTCGTATAGAGAAATATTCTCTTACTATTACATATGTATATATATAAGTCGCAAAGAATCATACTATAAATCATCATCAATTTTGTAACAGATATTGCCCTCAATTCTTTGCTCTTTTTTTTAATTTCCGAATATAATTATCCGAGTCTGAAAGATTTATTTTATGATGGGTGTAACCCATTCGCTAAAGCAGAGAACCAATCACCTAAATAAATTTATTATTTTTGATTACAAATGTAGTAGGCAGTTTGAAACTATGCCTAAATCTATTATGATAGAAGTAAAGACATGACCCCGAAAGGACATAGCTAAAATATTGTTCATGAAAAATGAACATCACCTGAAAGACATTGATATTTCCGCACGGTTCCTGAATTTCAATCCTATAAAAATAGTGTAAGCTGGAAAGCACAAAGTCATCCAACATGTTCCCATCCAAGTGGTGAAGTAAGGAGCATTGAAGCTGGCAAGCTGCACGGCATTTTGTGCAAATTGTTGCGTCCCAACCCATGAAACCGCAAGAAATATAACAATGACGCATCCTAAATGAACGTTAAAATCAATATTTGCTACTCGGATAATTTTTAATGTAAGCGCGTGTTGCATCAACACGTTTCAACAGTTGATTTCTACCAAACCCAATCTAGTAAGAGTGTTCGTTCACTTATTCTTGTTAAAACATATTAAACTTAACAGTTAGCATCATTTCAATGTGTTTGAATTATCATGTGCATCAAACAGTAGTTTATATTAGTCTATATAGATCAACATCATTTTAATATGAGTTGTATATTACAATACGTCAAGCAGCCATTCCAATTTTCATTTGCGTGAATAGAAGGTTAAATGTTATTAATAATCATCAAATAAAACGGTCCGCTATCTTGAGCAATTTATGTAGCAATACACAATATGGAACGTTATCTACTAATATATCGTACTTTATAGTTACACAAAAATGACAAAATACATACGAATATCAGACATGGAATTCTGAATTTTCGCAAGTTTGGCGATTAAAATGATAAACCAAATTAAATCGGACCTGAACAGAAGCCTCTATGAACTTATCATTATAAATTTTGGCCATGTACATACCAATTGTGATTTTTTGCTTCTTTTCGTCCCAGAATTTTTCTTTTGCGGCAGAAATTTCAGCATCTTTTATAATGGACGACGATTGCGATGCAATCGAAGATCTTTTTTCGTCTGAATAAAACTCGTCTGCGTCTTCATCTATTTGGAAAAATGGAAAGATAATATTCATTTCATTAAAATATAGATCAGCGTTTCTCAAAGTCCAAAGAAAAATGTATGGATGAAATTGAACCAAGGTTCGAAAGTTCAACGTGACAAGCTGATGAATAGACGCAAGGACTAGTTTGGTCATTGACACTTACTGTCATTACTGTATTGTTTATTTATTTATATTAATAATAAAAATAAAAATGGAATGTTACTCAAAATCCTCATTAAAGGTTCAGATTTTTTACGCTGACAATACGCCGCAAGATAATAGAGATTGAGATCCATTGATCTAGATCACTTTGCCGCGTCATGTACAAATTGTATGGATTGCGATTTTTTTGTAAAAAATTGTTTACAGAGTTAACAAAACGTGTTTTTAACTGCGTCACTAAAGCAGTACTTTTGGTAGAGAGCGAAAAGATTGGATATTATTATTATTTGATAAAATACAAAGCTAAGACTTCATGCATGAGGATATGTATGTTACCTAATGCACGTTGGCGTTGTCGATCATAGGTCTCGATTTCTACTACTGATCTAAGATCATTGCTGAACATATGTTTGCCATCTCATTCAAGGTTATGAACCTTCTGAAAGGGCTATTAAGAACCCTCAGAAGATTTGGGCATTGCAAAAACAGCAGTGCCATATTTTTGTGTAGTTAGTTACTTGTATAAAAAAAATTACCCAATTTGAAGGCGTGACCCAATCCGTGAATAATTTTAAAATAATATATAAATAATTGGATGAAGGATTTATGTTGAAAGAGACCGATCCATTTTTTGATGCAGCTTTAAGAAGAAAGGGTTTGATGAATTTTTCACAGCAAAAATGCAAGCTTATCGTTGTCTAAATGCATAGATTTTGATGGGTTAATGATCTATAGTTACAAAGACTTCATTCCAGAAGAGTAAAACCGAGAAATAGAAGCTGTGTTTTTTTATGTTAACCATTATTTTTCAACACATAACTGAAAAAAAATCAATTATCGAACATCAAGAAATTACATTCTATGTCAAGAACAGCCTGTCTCATTTGAGTATATATTACTCTTGTTGCATCACCAACTATTCATATACCACGTAGCACTTGTCAGTCTAAAACGCTATGTCATTGTGAGGAAGTATTGACTATTCTCATAAATGCGTCATCAGAAATTTGTACTACAATCATTATTAGAGTTTTTCATCGCCACGTGTGTACTTATCTGCACAAGTTCAAACAAATTCCGATAATTTTGTTTGTTAAATGTGATTTACATTTTCTTGAACAAATATATATATATACTAATCTTCGTTATATTCTTTATCGTTTGTTACAGCGCAACTTTAAAAACATTTCACGCCTATAATTGAACGGAATCATCCATCAGGTTATTTTTTGGTGCTTACGTGAGCTCTATTCATCCACAAGTTTTTTAACCGATGTCTTTCTAATACTGCGATCTACCCTTCTATCTGGTTTCAGTTTACTTGCAACGTCGTAACCCTAGGACTCCCTGTACTTTTATATTTTTGGGATTAAAAATTTTTCCACTCGGTGTTACTTTATAATGATAAATATATAACATAGAAGTACAAAATAATGATAACAAACAAGACAAGCACAACAAACGAAAATTTTAGAAAGTTGCAAAACTTCAAATGAGTTTAAAAAGTACTGCATCGGCAATGGACATTAAATATAGGCGAAAAACAACGATGAGATAGATACTTTCTGTATCGCACTCTAAACTTGTGAGCATTGTAATGATACATGCCTGTGTCATACACGCGGGAAGTGTATAAATACAGACAATGACGTGATTCAGAACACATATTATTCTGTGGGCATTCTAGTTCTTAGTACATCTCAAAACCAAACTGAATTGTCACACAGAGAGTTATACATTTCTACGCCAAAACTAAACATTATGACAGAAATGCTTACAATGCCATGATAATATTGATGTTAAGAGATAATCCAAAGTTTTACACATGTCCTTTCAAAAGCTGATTTTTTATATCCCAATCTGCCAAATGATGAATTGAATCAATGCTTGCAAAAAGTTACAGCGATATTAAAATAGTTCAAGTTATTCGAATCCCATTCTTTCTTTGTCTAAAAAATCTATACCTTGTAGATGCTTGGTTACAGCCACTGCTTCATGTCGATATTTAGACGTTTGCGGAATGTTTCCTAGTATTTCATGTCCCCTTTTGTAAAACAGCCCTGACTTTTAACCTGTCTTGTCAAGTATCATTTATCTAGCCAATAACAATCATACAATAGTAAAGACTTTCAGCATCAAATTGAAACTCCTTACCTTTATTATCAATTCGTCGCAGACTGGATGGTGGCGAATGTTCCATTGTGATTGTCACAAAATTCGAGTACGTATAATAAAACTCGTCCGCATGATTAAATTAGCTGACAAATTATCGCTGTAAACTGTCGGTTTATTTACACTGATTGTTAGTAATGTACTGCTTGTCGTAATGTTTACTTTCGAACTACGCAAAACCAATGTCTCTTTCGCATCAGATTAAAATTTATAATAACTCAATATTTAGTAATGAAGCGCCGACATTCACGCATTTTTATTCGGGAAATAGTTGAAGTCTTGTAACATACAATTTGCTTCAATGCCCTGTAAAGTATATACCTATTAATCAACTACCCAATGAATAAATTGATTGTACGTGCTCTTTCATTAAATACATTATTCAGAGAAATTTATGGGTTGTTCGATGGTCTGGCCCCCGGTATCACTATACTTGTAGTTTGTGGCCCATCGCGCTAAAGAGTTGCACGCCCCTAGTCTAGTACACGTCGAAGCCGTAATTCGTACAGAGTTGACTAATGACTACTAGCTGGCGTCGAGGTCATCATTCGCTGTTTTATTAAGATTCACAGTTTCTTGTATATACTTAAAACTAACTTAGACTACTTGGTAATTTTAATTCGATTATAATGGAAGGAAAAATTGATCAATTGAAGATAAAACTGGATTCGATGGAGTTGCGTGTAACAAAAAATTTAAAAATCGGAATCAAAGCAATAGTAGAAGAAAATATAAGGGACCTACTGGAAGACTCAAAAAGAGAACATGATAAGAAGATATCGAGTCCAATTAACGAATCAGTCATAAATAATTCTCAACAAATGGCTGAGGAATTGGAAGCTATCTTTTGTCAAAGTGACCAATTAGTTGAGAAGCTTTCCAAAGTGACTAAAGAACTGGAGTGTCCGCGTCTCAAATATTCTAATTTTGACACTGATCCATGCACAGTAACTTAATTTTACCCCAAATTCCAACAAAGACTTCCGTAGGAATCAAATTACAAAAATATAGCTCCCAGGAACAAAAAAAGTTCACCCGGTCATTATCAAATTAAAATTTATTTTCTCAAGATAATTAGGCACTGATTGAAATTATTATATGTAAATTTCTATCCTTACGACGTAGGCTACATAACTACCCATATCAGAATAATAAGAGTTTCTGTTTACACGGACATCACGTTTTAATATATATTATTCGCTATTCGATTAAATATATATATAGTGTAGAAATTTTTCAATGTTAAGTTAATCAGGATAAAAGCTTTACGACCGTATTCTGTGAATTGTTGAAATCAACGAATAAAAACGAATAGACATTTTCTAACGTATTTTTATACAGAAAATTAGAACCACTCGATACATCCGATATCAATTTTAAAAATATTGAACGATGTTTGGCCCTCGTGACTTTTGACAACGTATAATATGATACCTTAAGATGTTCTGGTGATTACTTTGACTCATTTTAATATTTGGTCAATACAATTCACATATATGAGTCGTCCAACATTGTACTTGACCTAAATCCATTCCCTAATGTAATAGAACTCGCTGAAACGAAACTTAAACTGACCCAATTGTTAATATAGATATTCGAGGATATGATTTTTACATACACCAACTCATGCTGGTGGAGTTGAATTATATGTTATCATTTAAATTATTCAGTGTTGGATAAATAGCCTATATTCTGAATGACAACTCATGTGAAAAGCTTTGGATTGAAATACCTATTCACATAGAAAATTTTTCTTCGATTGTTCTTGGCGTGGATGCGCTTAGCAATCACCTGTACCTTTTGATCAAAAGAAATATATCATATTAGGTGACATTATATTTGATTCCTAAAAAATCGTGCTAACTATTCACTTTTCTCTCTTTTACTCGCACTTGTAGTATGGCACAGGGGCGTGCCAAACTTTTCTGCTGCCCGGGGCGAGTTTCTGCTAATGCTGCCCCCTATCCCCAACTTGAAAATATTTCGGGGATTAAACAAATTATAGATGTCGTTATACATGAAAATAAATAAATTAAAGGTCAAGTTAGATTGAAATGTTTGTATTAATCATTAAACTAAACAACACGTATACGATCGAATTCATGTAATAACAAAAAACATGTCACCTATTTCTATGTCAAATCGCCACTTAGCTGTTAACAAATGTGTGAACGACAGCCTCTTCCTCCTCGCTCGTCAGGAATTTCTTTTCGATGCTAATCGAAGATAAATGGACAGGCGCTAATTTGACATCGAATACCTCAAATATGTTTTTATCTGTTTTAACTTGGAGAAAGATCGTTCGCAACTAGCAATTGAGTATTCGATTGTAAATAATAAACAATAAGCAATGCAAAAAGTTAGAAAAACTTCTCAAGTAAGCTCAATCGAACAAGCAAAAAAAATCTTTAGCATTTTTTTGAAAAATCTCTGTTTTCACTTTGGAAAAGCGACGTAACAGTATACGATTTGCCAGCCGAACAGACAGATTTTCTGGCATGGTTGTAAACATGCCCTCGTTTTCCCGTGTAATTTGTTAGTTTTTATTGTTTATGTTTCGGAAATTTCAGTACGAATGAAATATACCCTAATTATTCTGTCTTTTTATATTTAATCCCAGTAATCAATAGTTAACTAACAGTTGAGGTTGCGTGAAACCTAACTACTTTTCCTTGCTCTATATGAATTTGAGCAGGTGTATTCGTATGCGTATTACGCAAGGATGCTGTAGCAAGAGTGTGGCTATTCAATTCAAGAGTCTTGCTGCACACGAACACAAATATATTTCTGTAACGTTTCGATAGGTAAATTGGAGAGCTTTAGGAGATGTCCCTGTTGCTACAAAGGACTTTAGGCTCCGCTTGTGGTGTTGTAGTCTGGTTTCTTTTTCAGTATAATTTTCTTCAAATTGTTGAAGTCCTTTTTGTGATGTTTGTGGATTCGACGAAATGATACTTACAGAAATACATTTATGTTCGTGTGCAGCAAGACAATTGAATAGAATATTCAAAAGTTAGTTTAGAAATAGCTGTGATATAGATAGGTACTTTTTAAAAACAGGGTTGCCTATTTGGAATTCAAATGATTGTTTGAGACATATATATTAACCAGTGTAAGACGTAAACTAGCGAAACCACCCTTAAAATAAGCACCGAAAATGTTGCAATCAAAAAATATAGGTAGAGACGTTCGGGGAAAAACCCATTGTTGATTCATCATTACCACAGTCAGTCGCACAATACTAAACACATAATGTCAGCTTTTGAATAATAAAACAAAACAAAAAATATGTCTTATGTGTAATAACGCAGACTCAACATCTTGGTTCTGCTGCCCCCTACAACGTGCTGCCCGGGGCGGCCGCCTCTCTCGCCCCCTCTAGGCGCGCCACTGATGTATGGGATTGTGGCATGAGGATCTGTTGATGAAACTAGACTTAATACTATATCTCTATTACAAAATAAAGCAGTGATACTGTTGTGGATATGTGTCTTATAGTCTATTTTAACTTGTTCTGGGGTATTGTTACTATTGGATTTACATCATCATTTAATATCATTCCTTGCACATATTTGTGCCATGGACAGCAATCAATCAATTTTATTCGGTCACTCTGATACAAACAAAACACAAAACAACAATAAAGGGACAAACAAAATATAGAGGACCTGGAGGACGGGCATAACTTAATAAAAAAGTTAAATACGTACAAGTACGTGCCCGTCCCCCCAAAACAGGCAAAACACAATAAAACAAAAACACGATATGACATCGGGCAATATCTTATAAATTCAAATTAAAATGTAAGACGTGTATGTGCTTATCCTATACAGATATATGGATTAAAGAACACTCGCTGACGAAAAATGGCGATGTTGTGGGCCTACTTCAATTATATTGCAAAAATAACACAGTGAAAAATTTTAAGCTTCGTAAATGGATTGGATGTTCCATAGCAGTCTATGCACAAATCGTGGATTGGAGTATTGGGTTCTTTTGTCGTTTTCGACCAACCATATACTGGCCAACTATTTCCAAGTTCATATGTCTATATATTCGTTTTTTTTTAACTTTGAAACCTAACTAGCTATTTGAATTGTGTTGAAGTAGTAGTAAATATTTACGGTAGAATATATTAAAATATATTAGGCTACTATCGCATTTTTTGAAAATATATTCACTGTATTCTTCTTTGCCAAACCACGATTCAGCATCTGTTTCTTATTACTTACTGCATGTTGACTCTCTATGCACGGTACCACTTACATTTAAATAGTGGGTGTTCGATATATGGAATTTCTGAAATGAACATATACATGCGTATGATTGCGACCTAGGAATTATACTGCCCAAGAGGAACAGTTTACTGTCCCATTTTGTACATTTGAAATGTTCGTTTGATTATGCTTGTCTGTAGTTAAAGAACTAGGCTCTCTGGGTTATTCCTAAAACAAACCCAAATATTTTCATTATACAATCCAGTATTTTTATTTCATTTTAATAATTCAATGTAAGGGATTCTATACGAAAATGTTGCGACTGACTATGTAAAACTTCATATGAAGATTCACTAAAATACCAGACGTGTCCGAGAAAAACCTGACGTATGGCAATTTACAGCATATGAGCGTGTTTTTCCAAATTTTTTAAATCCTTATTGTGGTGCGAGCAAAAATTGCTGGAGATCCTGATTCAAAAATTTCGCTTGCAACTTTTGCGATATGGCATCCGGTCGAAAGTCTTGGTTTTCGTATTTGAGTTAGATTTTATTCAAAAAAAGGGCTCTGACTAGTTTAAGTTGCCTTTTGCGTTAATGTTTGCAGCACGTAAATTTGCAAAACAATAAATTTCGTCCACTATGTCTCCCAATGTTTTTTTTTCAGTTTGCTCAACCGTAGTAGTATATATTTACGGCTCAACAGTTATTTGGTGTTATTACTATGACATCCGGTCAAAAGTGGTTTTCACATGTCCTTTCTTTTCAGCGGCGGCTCTGTTCTCTGTCCAGGGTTAGATAGATAGATACTGTAGTTTATTTTGAGAACTCCATAACACACACAAATTGAAATTGGAGAATTTTGGAGAGCAAGCAAAGCCTTGAAAAAAATTCAAAACATGAGAAATATCATGTGCCTGCCCATCAGCACACACAAACCCAATTTAATGAGGCTTGGGCCAGAATTAGGACATAAAAGCATCTACAAACCGTATTTACCCAAGAAGAGAGGGGAATCGACAAGACGGCTTGATCGTACCACGGTCTTTCGT